TCCCTGCCTTTGGCTGTACTAAGGATGAGTCCCCGCCTTTGGCTTTGCGCATCTTTATGCTCAAACCCCTTATACAACTACTACTATATACATTGACACTGTATTGTGTATTGGTTATTTATGCAATTTGTTTGTTATTTATGGTATGTTATTAATACGTAGAGATGACCAAGGATATTTATTTGGTTAAATGAATTTATTATGTTTGTTTTTGCCCCTAATGCGTTTGGTAAATTATACTTTAATTAATGTTTATTATAGTTTAGCATTCATTATTTGAGAGAGAGAGAGAGAGAGAGAGAGAGAGAGATTCAATTAAAAAATTTTAAAATATTGTTAATTTTATATTTATCATAAGTTTCATATATTATTAATCGTTTTGTTAATTTAATTCCGATTTAATTATTTATTGATTATGGAACTACCCTGCTTATTTATGCCATAAATTATATAAATAAAATTAAAAGTGATAGGTGTGTGATTGAATGAGAGCTCCCATTATTATCTATACAAGTATCGTCACATTATATGGATAAATTAAAGTGCTATAATAAATTACATGTCTGTCAAATAGTAAACCGTTATATGAAAAACAACATAAAATCACATTCATAGTTTTATTATGCAATTTATGTGTGTTTATTTTGTAATGTTTTAAAAATTTTGCTTTACTGTGTAGACCAAAATATTAATTTTAATTAAATTTTGATAAACTATAACTATCACGTTCATTTATTGTACAGTTGTTACATAGTACTTAGATTTCAAATAGTGTTAATTGACCATAGCATAATTTGATATAGGTGGGTCGCTTTATATTGATTAATACGATTGCATTTAACCTTGATACAGAAATTATATTTAGCATCACAAAACTTTCCTGATTTTAATTACAGGAATGTTTTAGATTATAAATTATTTTTGAAACAAAGGATTAATTTATTTGACAACTATGTGAATTTAATTTTACATAGTTATTTATTAAATTGTTTATGTTATTGCTGTTATATATGTTCATTATTAAAACTAATATTTTTAGTTAAATTATTTATGAATTATAAAAATTAAATAAGTTTATCCTAATGTATTAATGATAGTAAAATTATTTTACAATGAATATCAAGACATTAATCATAAACGTTAAATTATTAACCTTAAACAAGCAAGGAGATATTTCTTAATTTTTGTACAACATATTCAAACAATTTATTGGGAAATACATTGAGATTTAAGTCACGAGTATTTTAACATTTATTGATTGTTGTTATTATTGTTATTATAATTCAATGAAATTATTGCTATTTTCACGAAAATTAATTTTTATCAGTTATTGACATTTCATTCATAAAATAATTTGTAAATATAATTAATGTTTTAATAGCTTAATTATTTGCATAAATTGAGTTAATACAAATACTTTAAAATGTATACTTCAATAAATTAAAATGATAAATTTTATGTTTATGTTTACAATAAATTTTGAATATTTATTTATGTAGATATATTTTTTTAAATTTTTACTATGCTTAATTAGTAAAATTGATAAATATTTAAAAAACAGTACTAAATATTAAATATTATAATTAAATTTTAAATTGACAAAATAAACAAACTGTAATTTTATATAAAATATTCATTTTATATAATATATTTTATTAAACATTATAGTTATTGGAAATTATTCACATTTATTAAATTTAATTTAAAAAATTTTAGAAAATTAATAACAATAAAAACAAATATTAAATTAATTAAAAATTCATATACCTATAATTTATTACAGATTTTCAGTTTGTTTATTGTTAATTTTAAACAAAATAATTTATTGGATATAATTTAATAAAATATGATAAGTTCTTAAATTGAATTAAAATTTTTACAAAACAATTCTAATATCTAATCAATTATTATTTGATTGATTAGTGACTTATTTGGCAACAAATTGATTGAAAGTCATAGAAAATATATGAAAATTTTATTAAATAACAGGTTTTTCTCTAATATATTATGTAATAAAAGTATAAATTATAGATAATTTATGAGACGTTACTCACAAATAAAATAATTAAAAATATTTAACCTTTTTGTTTAGTTTTTACAACCCTTTCACAAATAATTTATTTTACTTTTTCATTAATATTTATAATAAATTTATCTGTTTTGCGATTAAATTTGTAAATAAAATAAATAATTAAAAGCTATTGTTGCGAAAGAATTGGCAAAATAAATGCATATTTAGAAATTATTTTATTTACAATTAATTATAAAATACAGCATGTTAATTATGCAGATTAAATAATAGATTATTTAAAATGTTAGATCTATTGTTATAATTATTATTAATAAGTATTATATGTTATTTTTAAAATTAAAGTGCAAATAAATTAATTTATGTTTCCAAACTAAATTGAATTAGACCAATTGCAAAATATGTACATGTATATTTATGTGCGTGTATGTAATTTATAGTTAAATCATGTTATCTATAAAATTGCAAATAAATTCGTTACTTTTTAGCCAGTTATGATTAAACTCAATTAATGGTATAAATGATTAATATAAAATATTAATATTTACAGTTTATCATCAACATAAAATGATTTTAAAAAATTGTCTAACAATTAAATAACTAACTATTTTTATAAAATTTTTTAGTCAAATTAATTAATATGCTGTATAACAAACAAGCTGATAAAATAATCGAATTAAACTGATCTTAAACCATGGGAATTAAAACACATGCTAAATATTAAGTTGGTTATATAAAGCAAAATTAATTAATTACTAATATAATTAAAATTATAAGTTTATTGTATAAACATTTTGCAATAATGTATTTTAAAGTGATTGTGTTATGCATTGCAATTCAATCCATCGTCGCCTATAGGCTGGATAAAAGGCTTAATACTGATGGTATTAATGAACATCATGGTCAATTACTTGGTCCAGAAATAACCGAAGCGGTAAAATACAATTAGATCGACTAATTTAATAATATTTATTAATAATTACGTTAATTTATAAAATATTAAAAATTATTACTTCTTATATATTATTAAATTTATTTTTAGCAAAATTTAATCGAATAATTTTAAGTATATTTGCTAAAAATTATAATATTTATAATATTTAGATAAATAGTATTAAATATAATGGAGATAACAATATGTCCCAAAATATAATTTTATTATAGAAATTTATTATGCAAAATTAAAATGTCTATTTAAATTACAGTTTGACAACATTTTAGCAAACAATCAACATTTTCTTAACTAAATTTTATAATATTTAAAATAAATTCTTTATAATCAAACATAAGGGTAAACACATACTGGCCAAAATCACCGAGGCCAGGGCAGCAAAGTACAGCCACCTATTTGTGACCAACATGAATCCGGGCGACGCAGTCAAACAAGTAGACCAAATAGTCAAACTGTTTCAAGAGATAACCCAGAGTTTTGACAATCAGCCTTGTTTACGGATTGAGGAAAATTTGATGGGACGTACAATTGAGGACAACTGTTACGCACTCATCACTAACCGTATCGTTCAGACCATTGCCGGCAAATACGAGCTGACAGTCGGCGAGAAAGCATTTATGGTCACCGATTCGGTCACTGAAAAGGAGATTAAGTACGAGTTCTTTTTGGGTCCCCTATATTTCGGTGTTTACTCTACTAAAGCTTAAATCGGGGTTTGACTGTATGTTGTAATGCAATGTTTGAATTTATTTTGCTCGTTGCTTTATAATATTTTTTATTGGTTAAAATTTTTATATAATTAATTTTATTTTATTAAAATGTTTGAATTATGCAATAATTAGTTTCTTGTTATTTATTGTTTGTTTCAATACTTATGTTTACTAATAATAAAAATAATTATTTAATTTGACGCTAACAATAATTAATTATATAATACTGATTATATAAGTGATGCTTTAGATTAGTCCAAAATCTAAAAATAATTCATTAAAGATATAATAAAAACATGATACTTTCTCTAAATTACAGTTGTTTAAGTATAGATAAAATTATTGCTCGGCAATCTAGTATAGCGGCTATACTTAGTGTAGCCATATGTTCAACTAATATATCTAACATAAATATATGCATAATTAATTGATTAAATTGATAATTAACAAACATTTCACATTATA